ACAAACACCCACATTCAGCGCCTGCTGAGAAGGACATGGCACACATCCAGCATAACGCATGCGTTTATAAAGAACGTTTTTTAAGAATTAAGTCAAATCAGTGAGAGGAATAGAGAGTGGAACGAATAAAGCGTCTCAAAATGTGTGCTGAATTGAGATGATTACAGCATAAGTCATGTATTTCGCAGTGAGATCATGTTGGGTAAATCTGTTTCGTGTTTCTTCATGCAGATCTCCAGAATGACTTATGGTACTGGCGTGTGTTCAGACATGACATGCTCATAGTGAACCCCTGGAGAGGGTACACACCCATGAGGGGCGGAGTCTGGAATAATTAACACCAGACTAAATCCACGCTGAATGCTAACATATTGTACAACTCTTTTGTTTTAGTAGTATCCCTCTTCTTTGAGACTACAGTAGTGTAGTCAGGATATATTGATACTACTTCATTTCATGAATACGACATTAAAAGGATAGTTCACTTGTTCAAAACTTATTTGAGTTTCTTTTTTCTGTTGAACACTAAAAAAGATATTTTGAAGAATGTTAAATAGTTCACCCAAAAATAATATCTTTACATGTCTTATTTCTGTTTTCTAAAGATATTATGATGTCAAAAATCTTACATTTTGCCTTGTTTTAGCCAAGATGTCTATGTTTGGTCATCTTTTAGATGTCTTTTAAACACAAAATTGCTTGGTGGGTCTTGTAAACCTGTTGGCATTGTGGTCAAGATAACTGAAGTTTCTTGCTGTTGAAACCAGTCAGTAAATCTGTTTTAGATGTTAAGTGGCTGCTTTATGCTTGTTAGTGGTAATGAGATGGTTTAACAGCAAAAAAAAAAAAAAAAAAAAAGGAAAAAAAATTACAGGTTTGCTGGTCATCTTTACAACAAGCTCTGCCTTTACTAAAATGTACAATAAAAATGACCCTAAGTATTATATGTCAGATTTGCAAAAATGCAGACAGCGCCATCTAGTGGATTTATCATCTGACACGTGAAGTGAAATGTACACAAAGCAATGCATTTTACTTTCCAAAAAATTTGTAGGCTGAAGCATGAATTTCCAATAAGACCTATGTTGGTCTAATCTGTCCTTTTGAGAATATTTTTAGTCGTCAGTTAGATTTTTCACTGCATGACAGCCTGAATGTTGCCTTGTTTTAGCCAAGATGTCTTTGTTTGGTCAAAAAAAATAATAATTTAAATTAAAAAAATTTAAAAACGGCTTGCTGGTCATCTTTACAACAAGCTCTGCCTTCTCTAAAGCTTACAGTAAAAATGACCCTTATGAACATATTTCAGGTTTGCAAAAATGCAGACAGTGCCATCTAGTGGATTTATCATCTGAAACGTGCAGTGAAATGTACCTGGAGCATTTTGGCTGAAGCAGGAATTTGAAGCAGGTGTTGGTCTAATCTGTCTTTTTGAGAATATTTTTAGTCGTCAGTTAGATTATTTAACTGCATGACAGCCTAAATGTTGCCTTGTTTTAGCCAAGATGTCTACGTTTGGTCATCTTTTAGATGTATTTTAAACACAAAATTGTTTGGTGGGTCTTGTAAAACTCGTTGGCGTTTTGGTTAAATCAAGAAAATCAAAGTTTCTTGCTCTTGAGACAGTTCGGTGATATGCTAAGTGGCTGTTTTGTGCTAGTTAGTGGAAATGCGAGAATGGTTTAACAGCAAAAATAAATAAATAAATAAAATAAAAAAAACAGGTTTGCTGGTCATCTTTACAACAATCTCTGCCTTCTCTAAAGCATACAGTAAAAATTACCCTAAGGAACATATTTCAGATTTGCAAAAATGCAGACAGCGCCATCTAGTGGATTTATCATCTACAAATGTGCAGTGAAATGTACACAAAGCAATGCATTTTACCTTCTAGAAAATTGTAGGCTGAAGCATAAATTTCCAATGAGCCTGTGTTGGTCTAGTCTGTCTATTTGAGAATATTTTTAGTCGTCACTTAGATTTTCACTGCATGACAGCCTAAATGTTGCCTTGTTTTAGCCAAGATGTCTATGTTTGGTCATCCTTTAGATGTCTTTTAAACACAAGATTGTTTGGTGGGTCTTGTAAAACTCGTTGACGTTTTGGGTAAATCAAAAAAATCTAAGTTTCTTACTCTTAAAACAGTTCAGTAAGTCTGATATTATAGATGCTAAGTGGCTGTTTTGTGCTAGTTAGTGGAAATGCGAGAATGGTTTAACAGCAAAAAAAAACAAACAAACAAAAAAAAAAAACAGGCTTGCTGGTCATCTTTACAACAAGCTCTGCCTTCTCTAAAGCTTACAGTAAAAATTACCCTTATGAACATATTTCAGATTCGCAAAAATGAAGACAGCGCCATCTAGTGGATTTATCATCTGAAACGTGCTGTGAAATGAACCTGGAGCAATGTATTTTATTGTAGGCTGATGCATAAATTTCCATTGGCCATATGGGCCATATTTCCAATGCGCCATATTTGATGACTAGGTGATATTTGAACTATTATTAGATGTCACCTACACTTTCATTGCATGACAGCCAAAATGTTGCCTTGTTTTAGCAAAGATGTCTTTGTTTGGTCATCCTTTAGATAGTCTTTTAAACACAAAATTGTTTGGTGGATATTGTAAACTTGTTAACGTTGTGGTTAATTAAAACAAATCAGCTTTTCTTGCTGTTGAAACAGGTCAGTAAATCTGATCTGTGCTATTTTAGAAGCTTAATAGCAATTTCAGGCTAGTTATTGGTAATTCGGAGATGGTTTAACAACAACAAAAAAAAAAAAAACAAGACATTGAGAAAGCCAGTTGAGTAGATTTTTTAAAGCATGATGATTTACTATTACAATTAATATGTTTTAAGTCAATCTGAATGTGTTGTAGTCAATCTGAATGTGTTGTATCATAAGTTTTAAGCTTTTTGCTCAACAAACTAGCAACATTTCTACAAGTGTCGATCTTTTGAGTCTCATAAACCCCCATCATGCAGAAAATCTCACTCTGAGAGAATAAATGAATGAATATCTCATTTTGCTCTGCTGAATTAAGCAACTTGGTTGAATGGAGCCACAAATGAATGGATGAATGAGTGAGTGAATTGATTGATTTGAAGAGAAAGTGCTACAAAAACTTGAACTCGAAATCAACCGCCCCGTTGCGTTTTGTGTTTTTGTGTGCGCCGGGGGCCTGGAGATGGAGGAAAACCCAATAATGACAGAGGGGACTGAACATGTTTCTTGATCTCCTTTCACCTATTCTCACTGTGAAATGTCAAATTTGAATTGATTGAAAAGAAAATTACAGCTGTATTATGGGATGGCGTCGGGGGAGGGGTGTTGTTGCCACAGAAACTAGACTGCTGCTTCTCAAAGTGCTGTTCTTAGCTAATAAGTAAGCATAAGGTCTCATGCTGAATATACAGTTGGCACGAAAAGTATTTGGACACTTAGGTTATGCTTAAAATGCCTGAATGTCACTGCATAAAAATAAAATAGCAACCCAAGTGGTATTTACAGTAATTAAAGGAACATGTATACTTAATAAACTGAACAATTCTCCAAAATTGTGTTACGTTTTTTATGTAATAAAACTGGAGCTGAGTCAGATTAGATATGAAAGGAAGTCTGAGATAGAGAGACATACAGTGGGTTGTAATTAAAATATTTAGACAAAGTTATAGAGTTTCATTTGACTTGGGCAACAGGTCAAGTTACAACCTATGGAATGAACTGTACAGACCTTACAGTCACTTGTCATTTGTGACCTTACACTACCTCAGTGGTTCTCAAAGTAGGGGTCGGGACCCCCCGAGGGGTCGCGGGGCAATGAAGGGGGGGTCGCCTGGTGATTTCCAAAAATCTATTTATTTTTATTAAACCATAAGAATTAACATATTTTATCCATAACTATACTGAACATAAAAATAGTCGTTTATAGTTACTATATACTATATGGTTACTATAGTAGCTTATAGTTACTAGTTCTATTGGATTGCGACCCCTGGGGTAATTACATTATATTAAAGGCAGCAATAGCGTCAGATGCATTTTGATTTTATAACATCAGGTTATACTTTCTGGCACATTTAAAGCACTGACACAAATTTAATTGGTGTGTCTGCGTCATTGCATGCAAGGTTTCTGTATTTATAACCACCTCAGAGGATATTGGGGGTTGCGAGTCACTGGCATTGTTATTTTGGGGGTCGCAGGCTGAAAAGTTTGGGAACCCCTGCACTACCTGACTAAAGTCTTGTCGTCGATCCCAGTCGCAAGAGCAACAAATAATAACTTGACTTCTAGTTGGAAAAGTGGCAGAAGGTGGATTTTTCTGATGAATCATCTGCTGAGGTGCATCCCAATCATCACAAATACTGCAGAAGTCCTACTGGAACCAGTATGGAGCCAAGATTCTCACAGAAATCAGTCAAGTTTGGTGAAGGAAAAATCATGGTTTGGGGTTACATTCAGTATGGGGGCGTGTGAGAGATCTGCAGAGTGGATGGCAACATCAACAGCCTGAGGATTTCACTATTCATCGCGATTTAATTTGTCACGGTTAATAAATCGTAAAGGCTTCTCAACACCGTGTTTCTGCATAGAACAAAACTGCTGCAACTTAAAGTTATGCCGACTTTAACTAGTTTAAGTCTTTATGCACTAGTTTAAAGTTCCGAGCTTGTAGCTGGGGAGGTTTTTAACTAAGGGTCATTCACATATCCCATATTTTACGCGCACAAGTTCGTTATTTCCATTGGAGGCATGTGGTTTGCGTGCATATTAGTGCCTTTCAGACAAAGATTCAGCAAAATTTTTTGATAGTCTACAGAACAAACTATTATGTTTAGAAGTGGATTGAAAAAAATCTCTTCGTTAAACAGAAATTGGGGGAAAAATTAAACAGGGGGGCGAATAATTCAGGGGGGCTAATAATTCTGACTTCAACTTTACATGGGGGCTAATAATTCACGAGGGCTAATAATTCTGGCTTCAACTGTATCTTAATTCAACCACCACCCACTACCCTTCTGAATTTTTTATTTCATGTGTGATTTCACAAAACAAAAGTGAAGCAAAAAGATCCTATTGCATTAGTGCATCAATTTAACATCACTGAGACATCTGAAAGTGTAGCATCATTGCTGAAACACTCTCTGAAGCTGCCGTACACATGCGAGGTGCACCAGCCTCAGTTTCGGGAACAATTAGAGGAATTTTAACCCTTGCGTTCCCCACAGACGCCACACACACATATACGCGCCGCTGTGCCCCCAGCAGCCTCCCTCCATTCAGAAAGTTAACAGTTTGTTTTTCACAGCGCTGAATGCCTCACTGCACACATTACCCAAGCCCCTTCATCTCCCCCCTTTACTCCGGTCCGTGAGAGAGAGGCTGACTAAAATTATTTCTCCCTCTCTCTGTCTGTCTGTTTCTCCGTAAGGATTCAGATCTGAAGTGTATCCGATGCGCTCCTGAGGAATGAGCCCTTGTTGACAGCACACTCCTGGGTGAGTACACTTATTTTTGTGCACGAGACTATGCACTTTATTTTGTTGCGCTGCTTCTTTTTTGTCTGGAAAGCAATTTTGCCCACATGTCTTCCCTCCCCTCGTGTCCTCCCGTATCTTTTCCGATTTCTTCCCCCTCTCTCTCTCTCTTTGCGCTCCATCCTGTCTTCCGTCGCTCCCTCTTTCTGTCCCCTCCCTCACTCCGTGTCTTTGTTGAGGTATTCTGATAAATAGTTTGGCCGTCATCTCCAGACCTCCCCCATTGTGTGTCCAATTTTCTTTGTTCTCTCAGCCTGTGGATTTGAGTGTGTGTATATGTGTGTGTGTGTGATTGACCACTTCAAGTGTGTTTTAGTGAATAGAAAGGTCTGCCATGCAAGAATTTAGCCATATTGTTCTTAGTGTCACCGCGTTTTCATTCTTTTGTGTCTGTTTATTCTGTCTGTCAATTCGGTTAAAGGGTTAGTTCACCCTAAAATCTAAATTTACTGTTTACTCACCCTCAAGCGATTTTTCTGTTGAACACAAAAGAAGATATTTTGAAGAATGCTGGAAATATGACTTTCAAAGTAGGAAAAAAATACTATGGAAGTCAATGGTTACAGGTTTTCAACATTCTTCAAAATATCTTATTTTGTCTTCAACAGAAGAAAGAAACTCCTGAAGGCTTGAAACAAGTGAAAAGTGAGGAATTTGTGACAGAATTAAAACAAGTTTGGGAAAATGATCCCTTTCAGTTATTTTCCCTGCTAAAAAATCCAGCTTAAACCAGCCTAAGCTGGTTGGCTGGTTTTAGCTGGTCGACCAGGCTGGTTTTAGAGGGGTTTTGGCCACTTCCAGGCTGGTTTCCAGCCATTTCCAGCCTGGTCTTAGCTGGTCAGGCTGGGAGATGACCAGCTAAAACCAGCTTGACCAGCCTAGCCAAGCTGGGAGTCCAGCCAAAACCAGCTCTATCTATCTATCTATCTATCTATCTATCTATCTATCTATCTATCTGTCTGTCTGTCTGTCTGTCTGTCTGTCTGTCTGTCTGTCTGTCTGTCTGTCTGTCTGTCTGTCCGTCCGTCCGTCCGTCCGTCCGTCCGTCCGTCCGTCCGTCCGTCCGTCCGTCCGTCCGTCCGTCCGTCCATCCATCCATCCATCCATCCATCCATCCATCCAACCGGACAAGTGTAGCGTAGTCGACTCAATTCTTTTTTAATTTCAGTGTTATTATATTAGTCTGTAGTCATGATTGTTAATTTTGTGGCTCCGTCTGTCTGGGTTTCACTGCTCTATATTTCTCTCTGCTCATTTTAGTTCCATTTCAATGTAATTTGGTTTCATTTTCAATGTAATCAAATTCATGTTTTTGTTGTCATGGCAGTAATTTGACCTGCAGATATGGAAGAATTTCGATCTATTGTATATTGTAGAATATGGTTTGCTTACACCAAGTATATACAGTTAAAATAAGAAAAGTTTAAGGTCTGTGATCTTTTTTTTGAAAGATTTTTAATATATTAATAATAATATATAATAATAATAATGCAATAATACTTTAGTGTTATTAATTTTTCAATGCACGAAATCTAAAGATTTCAAAAGGCTCCTGCAATACTACAGAATGAAGTAATGGTACTAAGTAGGGCCAAACAATATATCGTTTTAGCCAGGGGTGTCCAAACTCTGTCCTGCATAGTTTGGTTCCAAGTTGCTTCAACACAACTGCCAGAAAGTTTCCAGTACAGGGGTGTCCAAACTCGGTTCTGGAGGGGCGGTGTACAGATGAGTTTAGCTCCAACCCTAATCAAACACACCTGAATCAGCTAATCAAGCTCTTACTAGACATACTAGAAACTTCCTGGCAGGTGTGTTGAAGCAAGTTGGAGACGCAATGTGTCAAATTTAAGAGATATTATATATTATATTATTTTTAAATAATTTATACAATGATGACCATGTTATTTTACATTGATTGTTCAATGTTGTGAAATGAAATGTTACGTGAATAATGTTAGACCCTCTAAAAAACCATGAAGCATATATAACTATTGTCTTTGCTCTGTTGTTTTTATATATGATTGTAAAGCTTTGACATCTCTTAAATAATTTGTATATAGGAAATATATAACAGAAAAACTGTTTTATATTTGTTTATTATTATTTTTAAATTGTAATAACATTTTGCAGTATTTCTTGTTTTATTGAATTATTTCTTAAAAAATAAATGCGGCCTTAGTGAAAATAAGAGACTTTATAAATCCATTTATTGATTTTCTTCTTGGCTTAGTCCCTTTATTAGTCTGGGGTTGTCACAGCGGAATGAACCATCAACCTATCCAGCTTATGTTTTACACAGCGGATGCCCTTCCAGCTGCAACCCATCACTGGGAAACACTCATTCACACACATACACTAAGGTCAGTTTTAGCTTACCAAATTCCCCTATAGCGCATGTATTTGAACCGTGATGGAAACAGGAGAACCCGCAGGAAACCCATGCCAACACGGGGAGAACATGCAAACTCCACACAAAAACTCAAACCAGCGACCTTCTTGCTGTGAGGCAATCATGCTACCTACTGCGCCACCATGATGCCCCGACTTCATAAATATTTATAAATATCATCATTAATATTATGTTTTTATCTAAAATTTTAAAAGTATAAAATAATTTTTACTACATTTATTAACAATAATAATTGTATTGCCACTTTATGTTGGCTATTTATAAAGGTGAACTATTTGAAAATAACCTTTATTGAATGCTGTAAAAATCATGCTGGATGTGTTGGAAAAACTAACTTAATATAGACCGTTTTTATAGAAAAAGGCTGAAGAAATGTTTGGGAATTCATTTTTGTTTGGAAAAGTCTCTGAAATGTTATGAATATAAACTGTAGGATTTATTTCATAACTCAGGATTAATTGCTAGCAGAAAACCTAAACACAAGCATGATGAAAATTCATGGATCTGCAAGTTTGAGTCTAAGTAGATGTTGTCCATTATTCAGGGCCAGCCGTCGATGTGCAACCATTCATGAACAAATATGCAAATATCATACAGCTGCGAGCCGCGATTCAGTTTCAGACTTATAAAGTTAATTTAAACCTTCTTTTCCCACTTTAATGCAGTGAATTTTTAAATTCACAGACTGAGGCTGTGTACTGTATGACACAAAGAGAAAGAGAGATGCACAGAGAAAAGGAGAGTGAGAGAATGAGTGAAACGTGAATGCATTTTACACAGGTAATCACACATGTGAAAACCTTGTTCTATATACATTTCTGGAGATCGCGCATTATGTAGCCGTAGGAACATATGACTGCATTTCATCTTTAAAATTAATGCTATGGGGTGGTATGACGGCATTTTTTTTCGCGCTTAACAGCAGGCCGCTTACCGCCGTATGGACGGCTTTCCCGCTGTTACCAGTTTGTCCTGTGGCTAGACATGTACATTGGCGGACTTGTCATGAGGAGTTAACCGCGATGGCGGGGTTCACGTCCAGCGAAGAATGGTTCCAGAAAGCAGGTAAAACAAAAACAAAAGCTAATAAAATAAAATAAACAAGTAAATAACAGGGTGAGGAAGTGGTAAAATCTGAAAACGTGGTAAAATCAAATATGGCTTTTCTATTTCTGGATTGCATTTGAAAACACTATCGGTTGGGTTTAGGGAAGGCTGTGGGTGCTGGTCAATCGGTGCTTTTGAAAACACTGTCGGTTGGGAATAGGGAAGGCGGTGGGCGGGTCAATTGGTGCTTTTGAAAACACTGTTGGTTGGGTTTAGGGAAGTGGGTGCGCACGGGTCAATCAATGCTTTTCAAAAAACACTGTCGGTTGGGTTTAGGGAAGGTGGTAGGCGGGTCAATTGGTGCTTTTGAAAACACTGTCGGTTGGGTTTAGGGAAGTGGGTGCACACAGGTCAATCAGTACTTTTGAAAACAGTATCGGTTGGGTTTATGTAAGGGTGTGAGTGGGTGGACCAGTCGGTTGGTCATTCAGTCTACAGCGGCCACTGGTGGATTTACGTGAGAACAGCAGTCACAAATGGCACTCGCTTTGAGACCTCAAAAAATGGTACACAGCTGCCTTTGGTGAATTCGCGAAAACAAAAACTACAAAACTAACTTAGCTCATCTGCGCTCTCCAGAAATGTATATAGGGGTACGTTTGCAGAATGAGCCTGGGTTGGATAACCACATACTGTACTGCAGACTTCATTCATGAAAACATTCTTATGCAAAATTTGATGGTTTTCATCATCTCTGTTTGTTGTGAAATTGACCGCTGGAGGGGCGTGGTTAATTATGTTAGCCACGCCCAATACCTCAGACAGACCTAATCTGATAATTTAACTGAAAACAAACAGGAAGTGCTTTTTCGGATTTCAGTTTAAGATTACAAGGCCAAACTATAAATTTTTTTAATGACATGCAGAGATGAATTGTTCACCACAAAACTAGCAATGCGAGCTCACAAAATCGATATGGTTAGTTTTGATTTCATGTGTACTTTAAGTCCTGTCCACACAGGTTTTTTTCAAAGTCGCACTTTTTTTCTGTGCACTTTAAAACACTGAATTATTAAATTCACCATCGGATGCTTCTGACGCTTTCAGTGACACAAAGAGAAAGAGAGACGGCCGGAGAAAAGGAGAGTGAGAGAATGAGTGAAACGTGAATGGCGTGAGGATGGACACAATAAAAGGCCGGTCTTGTTGCCGTGCTGTTTAAGATTCTGCCCGGTGTCGGGTCCGTGGTCAGGCCTGAGTGAAAGTGCTCAGCTTTGGCGGATGACCACGTGCTCGCACGGAGCGCCTGTAAAGCTCAACGGACTTCATTCACGTGCTAAAGAGCCTCCGCTCTGGCAGATATTTGGCCGCCTGCACAGAGAAGGCTTTCACGCAGAGACAGTGAAGGAGTGGAGGGGAGAAATAGCAAACAAGGACACATCTGAAAAGGCAAACGCTTTCAGAGATACAACAAATATATGTGGAGCTGCTAATTTATTGG